AAAAACATAACATAATAATATAATATAGTTGGTCTTAATAGCATCTGGTGTAGTTTGTCTTCCACTTTAAGCAAATTGTTGTGAGCCCAGATCAAACAATCCAGTGGAGTGTATTGAGAAAATTTATCTGTATTTAATAAATAAAATAATAACTAAAAATACTTACTAATAATAATACTGTAAATAAAATAGAACAGCATCTCATATAGTTTGACTCACACTTTAAAGGGATAGTTCACCCAAAAATGAAAATTCTGTCATTAATTACTCACCCTCATGACGTTCCAAACCCGTACGACCTTCATTCACCTTTGGAACACAAAATTAAGATATTTTTGATGAAATCCAAGAGCTTTCTGACCCTGCATAGAGAGCGACGCAAGTGACACATTCAAGGCCCAAAAGGACATCGATAAAATAGTCAATGTGCTTTACTCCCATGAATGCAACACGGAAGAGAAGAAATTGTTGAATAACGCCATTATTTTTGTTTTCTTTGTGCACAAAAAGTATTCTCATAGCTTCACAACATTACGGTTGAACCACTGATGTCACAGGGACTATTTTAACAATGTCCTTACTACGTTTCTGGGCTTTGAATGTCTCAGTTGTGTTGCTGTCTATGCAGGGACAGAAAGCTCTCATCAGATTTCATCAAAAATATTAATACAAAAATAAAATTTGTGTTCCGAAGATGAACGAAGATCTTGCGAGTTTGGAACGACATGAGGGTGAGTCATTAATGGCAAAATTCTCATTTTGGGTGAACTATCCCTTTAAGGATATTGTTGTGACCTCAAATCAGTCAAACCCCTCTGGTTATGCGCACCGAAACAGTCCAGTGGAGTGTATTGAGAAAATGAATCTATAATTAAGGTGGATTTAATTCCAGAAGATTAAGGATACGAGGTCTGGAGAGAGAGAAGTTGGGAGACCAGTAGCTCCAGCTGGCTGTTGAGCTCCTGTGCATTGGCTGGGGGAGAGAGGGTCTGTGTCGGGGGTGAGATGAACGGCCAGTGGAACTGTGTCAGGACTTCCTCAAAATCACTGAATCAGAACCAAACATTTAGTGTGAACTTTTAAATATTTATTCATTTAAACATACAATTCTAAATAAGTCTAATACCTGGCCAGTTTGTCTATAAGGATCTTGTGCCAAAAGCGAAGTGTTTCTCTGAGGAAAGCCTGCAAATGGCTACAGCCTGACTCCCGCAAACCCATATCCAGAGAGGCCATCCTGTCTATTGCACCAACCGCATCCCACATACTATTGGTCATCAGATACTGCTGGATGCTGTCACTAATGCAACACAAAAGATGTGAAGTGGAACCTGTGTTAGATACCAGTATAAACCTTTAGTGCCCTCCAAAATATCTGGACACACAATTTAGAGTTTACCCCTTACCTGAGCTCCTCAATACGAGACAGACATTGAAGGTACTTCATATGCCTCTCTAATGCGTCTAGCTGACCCAAGACCTGCCCGATGCTGTCGGCCCAGACCTGTGCGCCCTGCAGATGCTGCTGCAAAGTGTTGGACAAAACTCTCTCCTTCTCCAGTAAAGACTCCAGCTTCAACCGGGACTCCTCTGCCGTGGACAGGGCAGCCGACACACGCAACGGCACTGAAGAGGACACAGTCAGCACCTGCATGCACACACAAATGCTGGTTTACAAATAAATAAAAGTAATCCTAAAATAAATAAATTTCTATGATTTTATAAATAACACCAAAATACTAAAATAATAATAACAGAAGTATAAATATATAGAAAACAAAAATACTAATAAATACATAAATAATACAGAAAAATAGAACATAAATTATACATATATGGGTCGA